ACAGGCAAGGCCAGCAAGGGACCAATGAATCTACCATTCTTAGGAACTGCTCATAGCTGCATAAATCACTGCATTTCTGAAAGTCAATGTGGCAATATCTTTTAAGATTCTTTAAAATGTGTTTTACAGAAAGCTAGATTTTTTAAAAGTATAAAAATCACAGAGGAAAATGTTCACCACAACGCTGAAAACAATATAAACATAAAACATGTGGAGAACGGTTCCATATATTGCATAACAACATGTCACACTACACACTCAGAATCTGAACTCAGAAACAAAATAAATTTAAATAAAACTGTCTCCATTCCAAATCCAGGGACTAGTTCTGGTCCCGAACCAAATGGCATAGGTTCACATTTCCTTGCTCCTCCCCTTTAAGTATATCTAAAATTCCCAGAAATAATCTAACAGACAATCATAAAAGAACTCTGAAAGGCAAAAAGAGGAAGGCAGGGTGGCTAGGGGCCTCAGGACTTGAAGAACAACATGACATTACATTTCCCAAGTTTTTCAGCATCATACGAAAGATTAAAAAAAAGTTTCCTGAGCATTCCTTTAATCTGCTATAACTCAGACTGGGCACTAGAGAGCCCTAAAACCCAGAACTATTAACAGACTTAGATCCAAAAGGGCCCCCAAGCCTGCCTAAAGAAGCAGAAAATGGACAGCCTGGGGGAAATCTAGCAGGTGGTCCCATCCCTGACTCCATACCTGGAGTTGCAGGAGGGCCCACCATGACGGAATGAGCAATGCCAATAAAGATCAGGCAGGGGAACTTCATCTCCTGCCCCATATGCAGTACAGCAGGTAGGCCCACATTACCCACATCAGCAGCACCAGTCGGCACAGCTGGCATCTCTTAGCCTTCCACCCAGCAGCAAAGAACTATGCAGGTCCAGTGTTTCCCAACTTCCCACCCAGGAGCAAAGAGTGGCCCAAGGCAAGAGCCTTCCTTCCACCCCCACAGGCAATATCAACAGTGACTGAATGGAAGCCCCCCTGGCACCAGGTAGGAGTCCACATGGTGGGGCTAGGAGAATGCTCACAGACCCATGAGTCCTAAGCCCACCATCTACCATGCATTCTCCACTTGGCAGCAACCAGCCCAGAAAAATCCACTCCACTCTCACAGGTGGCATGAACAAGGATTGAATGGGAGTCCCAACAATGCCAGGAGAAAAAAAATTCAGACTAGAAAAGCACGGCAAGAGCTCTAAAAATCAAATCATCATTGAAACCACAGATTTCAGTAGTATGCCAGGACCTATATACAAAACCTAAACAGGGCAATTACCCACTAAGATAAATCATTTAGATAGGATCATGAAATATTAAAACGTTCTTATTTATTAAAAAAGAAAAGAAAGGGCTTGGCACAGTGGCTTATGCCTGTAATCCCAGCACTTTAGAAGGTCATGGGAGGAAGATCACTTTGAGACCAGGAGTTAAGAACAGCCTGGACAACATAGTGAGACCCCATCTCTATAAAAATTAAAAATTAGCCAAAGTGGTGGAGCACACCTGTAGTCCTAGCTACTGGGGAAGCTGAGGTGTGAGGATCACTTGAGCCTAGGAGTTTGAGGTTGCAGTGAGCTATGATCATGGCACTCTAGTCTGGGTGACAAAGAGGGACCATGTCTCAAAATAAATAAATAAATAAAATGGAAAAAAGGCTGTAATTTTTAAAATGTTATTTTACAAAAGGCTTTTAAGAATTTAGGGAAATACTGAAGGTATAATGTAAAATTTTTAAAGCAACAGACAAACTTACAAATACAGTATTGCTTTAGATATTTTTTAAGCATATAAAGGAAAATGGAAAGCAATATTCCAAAATGTTATCAGTCATTATGCCTCTTGGTAAGAAATTATGAATTCTTCCTGTTTTTATATTTTTCAATTTTCCTAAAGGACTTGTCTAATGTTTACTAGCTATATAATTAAAATTTTAACCACAGGGTACTAAAACTAGTATACAAAGAGCTGTGGTAACACGCAGATCATGATTCTGTAAAAGAGTGGGAGTGACCTTAATGAGATGATATAACACAAGTTTGTTGTCTTTTACATACCTGTGGATCTGTCCATTTTTATGCAGATATTCCAGCCCTTCCAGTACTTCTCGTAGTATAGTAGCAATGGTAGATTCATCTAGGACTCCACTTTTGTGTTCCCCTTTTGCCACAATGTGCTTAATAATATCCAGAACAGAACCTGAAAACAGAAGACATAATTTTCTAAAAATCTCTAAATCATTCAATATAATTCAGATCCATTTTAGAATCAAAACACATGTGAACCTTCTCATAAATTAATTGTATAGGAATGGGAAAAAAAAAAAAACAGCAAATATGAGGAAATACAGAATTTTTAAATGAGTAACTTCTTATTTTCAGCCGGGCATGGTGGCTCACGCCTGTAATCCCAGCACTTTGGGAGGCCAAGGCGGGCAGATCACGAGGTCAAGAGATCAAGATCATCCTGGCCAACATGGTGAAACCCTGTCCCACTAAAAATACAAAAATTAGCCGGGTGTGGTGGTGTGTGCCTGTAGTCCCAGCAACTCAGAAGGCTGAGGCAGGAGAACTGCTTGCACCTGGGAGGCAGAGGTTGCAGTGAGCTGAGATTGCGCCATTGCACTCCAACCTGGTGACAGAAGTCCAATCGAAAACAAAAAGTAGCCTACTAATATTCAAATAGAATGTTATGCTAGCCTCTCCTTTGGACATCTAGTGAGAATCTGAAGAGGTGGTAGAGGATATTTAACTCACCCTAAATAATGCCTAGGTAAGCCATGCTCATCAGTAATATTGTAAGATACCACAAACCAATGTAGGCTTTTAACACCAGATTAGAATATGCACTGCTGTATGACTAAAGATATAAAAATACAATTGAAATGTCAATCAAATCAGGAATGGAATACTTGGATCACATATATATATATATATATACAAACTAACTTAGGACCAAAATTATTTTTTAGGTTAATTATAGAACTAAAATAGGCAAGGAAAAGACAAATACAAAAAGAATAAAAATTACAGTTCTCTTTGAGTAACACCCCAGATGTATTATCAATCCTAAACTTCCCAGAATAGGAAATAATGCTCCTAGTAAAGGTTGAAGGCGGGGAGGAAAAGACACCTATATAGTAATTAAAAGCACAACGCTGCCTGCCAAAACTGAAAATCATAATCAGTAAAAAGTTTGGTGGAAATTCATAAGATTTCTGGCAGTATAATGGCCCATAACAATCACAGAACCAAAACAAAACAATTTCCAATATTAGCAACTGTGCCAAGAGGTCTAGAACATTACATAGACTGCACTGAAAAGATTCAATACTCATTTCTTGGTACAACACTTCAGTGATCAAGACTAAAATCAAAACAACCGCTTACATAGTTCTCTTCAAAACTTGCCCTACTGGGTACTTTTACTTCATACTCTTAACAAGAAAAAATATACTTCCCAATACACAGAAAGAAACAGAATTCTCAAAAACATGAGGGATTGAACACGTTTATTTTAGCTCCCACTTAAAATCCACTAACTTGGTAAACTTGATTAAAAAGACATAAACCCACAATTTAAAAAGAGGACCAGAAAGATGACAAAAGACAGATGGCAACAATATTCTAGAATATAGAAGAAAAAGAAAAAGTAATCAAGCACAGCGGAGAAATCTGAACTTCAGTGCTTGCAGAGGAGCTATGCCATTTAGGACAAAGTGATCCCTACCCAGAGCTCCAGAAAGGCTCAAAAACACACACAGCAAGTACCATATGTGAGGGAGGAGTGGAGGACAGGGCTGAAAACAGGAAAACTGGTTGAAAGTTCAGATAAGAGAGAATAAGATTCTCAGATCCCTCTTCCTCCCGGAGACTTGCCCTTTAGTACTCTCCACCTCCAATAGGAGATAGGCAGTTTAGTCTCTGTGCACCAGAGAGGCTCACTCTCCAGAAAGCTCTCAGACAGGTTTCCCAACACATTACTACACTGGTTCTTTCCCCTCTCCATTGCTGGGATTCACAAGTTTGTGATCCAAAAGTGGAGAGACCTAAGGAAGAAGTTTGTTCCGCTTAGTTTAATCAACCACACGTGAATCCCCAAAGCAAAATGATTATACCAAAGGCCCACATGTTCCACTGTTCAAGAAATCCAGGCCAATAAGTACTTCAGTAAGAAAACAATTATGTTAATTAACACTGATCAAGTTCCATGTTTGTAATGTAATGCCTAAAATAAGGAATGCAAAGGAAAACCAATTCCTACTGGAAATGAAAAATTATCACAACTCATTCATTCAACAATTAAGCCCTATTACATTACATGTGAGATCTAAGACTGGGTGCCCCCAAATATGACAAGCTATATATGACATGATTGCTGACTTTAAGGGAACTTCCAGTCTGATAGATCAAACAAATGCAGCATCAAAGATCTTGGGGCACCTAAAAAGTGACTGTATCTGTAAAGAGTTTGAAGCAGGAGCTCCTTTTCAAACTTTCAGATTTTTATTGACTTCACACCATCCAATCATCAATGAGGAGATTGATGCAATGCTCATCTCTAGCCTATATGTCCAGAACAGACATTTTGAACAAAGCCTATATATGAAACCCTTCTGATCTGGCTAACAATTTCAGTTTCAAACTCCTCCCAACAATATTATTATTATAGGTGGAGGAATCATCATGTGACCAAGACCTTCATCCTTAACTGAGAGACACTGGTCCTGTAAGGTACCCCGCTGCCACTTATCCATTTAGTTTTTTAAGCCTCTGGTAGCCTCTAACTCGATGACAGTGTTTATAATCCTCCATCCTCAAACATCAAAATTATAAAGAATTCTTCACGTCAACTAAGAGAAAGGTGAAGAGAAAATATGCTAAGCAAAAGGAGGCAGCAGATTATCACTGAGTGATTCAATTAACACCTAAGGTAGGAATAATGAGGGAAAGCTATAACTGTGTATGAAGTATTTTGTCCTCATGCCTAATTCATAAGAAATAGTATATAGGAATAATCTGTTCTCAAACTTTAACGTGTGAAGGAATTACTTGGCAAACTAGTAAAAATGCACATTCCCAGGCCATGTACAGTCATTCAAGAGAACTGAGGTAGGGCCCAAGAAGCTGCATTTCAAAAGGCATTTAACAACTTACAGACTGCTTTAATGAAAGCTGTCCATTAAAATCCAAACATTTTTCAAAGTAAAATTAAATCAATCAAATAATGGGAAACAAGGGTATTTTTGTTTGGATACAAACAAAATTTTGTAACAAAGCAAAAAGTTTAAATGTAGATCATCTATTCCCAAAAAATAATCCCCATCAGACTTCATGGCCTGTGGCATGGAACATGTTTAAAGCAATGCAAAAATTTAATTGTCCAACAAAATAATGACAGAATATGAAAATAATATTTGACAAAGTAGTGAAGTAGCTGCTGGCTTCAGACGCTTGTTAAGTCTGAAAATTAGAGCTCAATCAAATTAATTACCCCATCAACAAGTTAATTTCCTCAGTTTACTTGTATAAGAAGCTACTCTTTAAATATAAAATCAACTCATTCAACTTAGTTACTGGTATCTCTGCTAACAAGTTTTTTGTTTTGTTTTGAGACGGAGTCTCACTGTCACCCAGGCTGGAATACAGTGGCAAAATCTTGGCTCACAGCAACCTCCACCTCCTGGGTTCAAGCAGTTCTCCTGATTCAACCTCCTAAGTAGCTGGAACTACAGGCATGCACCACCATGGCTGGTTAAGTTTTCTACTTTTGGTAGAGACAGGGTTTCACCATGTTGGTCAGGCTGGTCTCGAACTGCTGACCTCATGATCCACCCACCTCGGCATCCGAAAGTGCTGTGATTACAGGTGTGAGCCACCGCACCCAGCAAGAAGTTTTAACCAATCTTCAGCTACTACTAGTAGTAAAAGTACTTGACTGCTTATGTCTTCCTAAGCCTCAGAAGATTTCAAAGGGGCCACAATTTGCTTGGTCTGAGTATTCCATTTTAGACCAAAAGATGTTTCAGAAATAACACCCTGCATTGTTACTTGAACATCCAAAGCTGGTCCCCACTAATATGAGACATTTTACCTGGGTCCTGCTTTAGATCAAGGAAGTCCCCGTGTTTTTTATCTCTTAGAAAAAGACAAAGTTAGGCCAGGCGCGATGGCTAACGCCTGTAATCCTAGCACTTTGGGAGGCTAAGGTGGGTGGATCACCTGAGGTCAGGAGTTCAAGACCAGCCTGGCCATCAGGGTGAAACCCCATCTTTAAAAAAAGAAAAGAAAAGAAAAGAAAAGTAAAAGACAAAGTTGAGGGCATGCTTAAACAACTATCTAAGACAGTGAATTTACATTAGATTTCTGCATTTCTACACTTACTCCCTTTAAGTACTACAGGTACCTCCTTTTTCACCTCAGAAGTTTTTTTTTAATTACTTTGATTTCTAAAAAGCTTACATTTGTAGCTTGGTGCTAATAAACTGTGGAAATAACTATTTATACCAAAAGTGCTTCTAACTTCTGAAGCTTAACTTCCTGTAGTAATAAATCCCAACATTCAATATGAGAGTTTTAATTAGAAAAGATAGGAATATTACAGTTATAAGGAGGCATCATAAATTGATTATAATATTGAGACAACTAAACTTATTTTAACCAGGATGTACACTTGGTTGGTGGGCTTAAGAGTGACTCATTAGGCCGGGCGAGGTGGCTCACGCCTGTAATCCCAGCACTTTAGGAGGCCGAGGCAGGTGGATCACGAGGTCAAGAGATGGAGACCATCCTGGTCAACATGGTGAAACCCCGTCTCTACTAAAAATACAAAAATTCAGCTGGGCATGGTGGCGCGTGCCTGTAATCCCAGCTACTCAGGAGGGTGAGGCAGGAGAATTGCCTGAACCCAGGAGGCAGAGGTTGCAGTGAGCCGAGATCGCGCCATTGCACTCCAGCCTGGGTAACAAGAGCAAAACT